ATTTTAAATCTTTTTTTAGAATTTTTAAAAGGAAAACTAGAATTAAAAACGTTTAACTCTTTTAAAAAAAAAAATTAAACAATTTAAGTTAATTGTGAAATAATTTAACACATGTCACAATCTTGAATATATAATTTTCATGAGTCACAATCTTGTTAATTAGTAACTTTGAAGAAACACCTAGTTTGGATATTTTAGGGATCGAGAGCTATATTTCTCTTCCTGAAATATATAAATAAATAAAGTTAATATAACTATAAATCTAGAAACCCATTGGAAAAGGAAAACAGTATCCTTTTTTTGGGGAAAATCGCATAAAAAAACCTTCAAGGTGGCAACCATTTACACTTTAAAACTTGAGAGTATTTTACAAGCACTTTAAACATTCAAGTTGGCAAATTTAACATATTAAACCTCCAATCTGGCTTACTTGTACATCAAGTTAAAAATATGACCGATACTGTTCAAAAGCAATGACGTGTCGGTTTGTTTTTTTTAAATATTTTAATAAAAAATAAATATAAAAATACAGAAAATATAAAAATTCATTAAAAACATTAAAAATTCATTAAAATTGAAAAATTCATAAAAATTCAAAAAAAAAATCAGAAAAATCATAAACATTAAAAAATCACAAAATAATTAAAATATTTTATTAATAAAATATTTAAAAAAAAAACTTAAAAGAAATTATAAAAAAAATCCCAAAATAAGAAAATTCAAAAAAATTTAAATAAAATAAAAATGAAATTTAAATAAAATTAATATAAGAAGAATAGATAAAATAAAGATAAATTCAAGAATAAATAATTTTATTTGTTTTATAAAAAACGAGAAAACACTATAATTTTTTAAAAAGAATCATTATCTTCAAATGATTCTCGTGAACCAAATCAAAGCAAACAAATTAAATTCCAAGTCATTTTGTTCTCATTTTGTTGCTTATTAGTCAAGGTTTTCTGGATTTTATAACTAGATTAATATAGGGTATTTTAATAACTGCTAAAAGACTTGGATTTTAACTTGTTTGCTTTGATTTGGTTCAAGAGAATCATTTGATGGTACATAGCAAATACGATTAATTATATGATGACATATCAAAAACCATAAACATTAAAAAATCACAAAATAATTAAAATATTTTACTAATAAAATATTAAAAATAATAAAAACTTAAAAGAAATTATAAAAAATCCCAAAATAAGATAATTCACAAATATTTAAATAAATAAAAATTAAATTTAAATAAAATTAATTTAAAAATAATAGATAAAATAAATATAAATTCCAGAATAATAGTTTTATTTGTTTTTTTTAAATGAGAAAACACTATATTTTTTAAAAAGAATCATTATCTTCAAATGATTCTCGTGAACCAAATCAAAGCAACAAATTAAATTCCAAGTCTTTTAGCAACTAGACTTTCACTTGCATAAGTTTTTAAAAAAAAATTATATTGTTATTTGTTTTTCGTGTCACTATTATATATTATATATATATATGTCATCGTATAATTGAATGTATATGATATATACCATCAAATGATTCTTGTGAATCAAATCAAAGGAAACAAGTTAAAATCCAAGTCTTTTAGCAGTTATTAAAATACCCTATATTAATCTAGTTATAAAATCCAGATAACCTCGACTAATAAGCAACAAAATGAGAACAAAATGACTTGGAATTTAATTTGTTTGCTTTGATTTGGTTCACGAGAATCATTTGAAGATAATGATTCTTTTTAAAAAAATATATATAGTGTTTTCTCGTTTTTTTATAAAACAAATAAAATTATTTATTCTTGAATTTATATTTATTTTATCTATTATTTTTATATTAATTTTATTTAAATTTCATTTTTATTTTATTTAAAAAATTTTGAATTTTCTTATTTTGGGATTTTTTTATAATTTCTTTTAATTTTTTCTTATTTTTAATATTTTATTAAAAAAATATTTTAATTATTTTTTTGATTTTTTAATTTTTATGATTTTCTGTTTTTTTTGAATTTTGTATGATTTTTTCAATTTTTAATGAATTTTTAATGAATTTTTATATTTTCTGTATTTTTATATTTATTTTTTAGTAAAATATATATTTTTTTTAAAACAAACCGACATGTCATTGCTTTTGAACAGTACCGGTCACCTTTTTAACTTGATGTACAAGTAAGCCAGATTGGAGGTGGTTTATTATGCTAAATTTGTCAACTTGAGTATTTAAAGTGCTTGTAAAATATTCTCAGAGTTTAAAGTTTAAGTGGTTGCCACCTTGAAGGTTTTTTATGCAATTTTCCCTTTTTTGTGTTGAGGCGCATAATACGGTATTGTAACCTAACATTATATATAGTGTGTGGGGGTACTTAAATCTAAATTCTCTCTGAAGAAACACTAACAATGACGACAATCTCAGATCTTTCGTGGGATTTGGTAGAGAAAATACTCGCTAGCGTTCCCGTAACTAATATGAGAGCTGTGAGATCCACTTGCAAACTATGGAACGGTTTATGCAAAAATCGGATTTGGCGTAACCTAGAAGCAAAGAGACATCAGTTTCTAGGGTTCATGGTGAAGAATTATAAGCTTTGTTTGATCAGATTCAATCTTCATGGAATCCTGGACGAAGAAGAATTTGAGGATCCATCTATAAAAGAGATTATCGGGGATTCACTACTTAATCAAGTCGATATAACCAACGTCTTCCATTGCGATGGCTTACTGTTATGCGTCACCACGGACAAGGACGAAGAGGTGGACAGAACTAGCCTCGTGGTCTGGAACCCGTATTTGGGACAAATCAGGTGGATCCAACGACCAATGTTGGGATATAATCCAAGTCCCACATCGGAAGTTTAGACAGAAAGTGTCTAATATATAAGTAGCGTCCAACTCTGATTAGTATGAGGCCTTTTGGGAAGGAACCCAAAAACAAATCCGTGCGGACTTTGCCTCTTGGGCCCAAAGCGGACAATATCATACTATGGACAGAGTTGGACATGGGCTTGAGAAAAGCGCCACAGTGGTATCAGAGCCTAGGTTGAAAAAAGTGGACCTAGAAAAGTGGGTTGGACCTGCATGTTCGTTGTGGGAGGAAGTTTCTCAAAGTGACTTTGCGATTAAGGGGTGCCGGAGGCTTGTGTCGAAATCTTCTTAGGGGTTAAGTGAAGAGTTTTGTTGGTGAGTACAGCGGTACAAGATGGTACCAGGTTTCGTAAGGAGGTTGAAGTCCAAGGAGTTATGTGGTCCTTGGTTTGAGGGGGAGATCGTTGGGATACAATCCAAGTCCCACATCGGAAGTTTAGAGAGAAAGTGTCTAACATATAAGTAGTGTCCAACTCTGATTAGTATGAGGCCTTTTGGGAAGGAACCCAAAATCAAATCCGTGCGGGCTTTGCCTCTTGGACCCAAAGCGGACAATATCATACTATGTACAGAGTTGGACATGGGCTTGAGAAAAGCGCCACAACCGAGAAATAACTACCACAGGTTAGACACGTATGCTCTCGGATATGACAACAACAAGAATCATCGTAAACATAAAATCTTGAGGTTTTTGGATTATAACGTCGGAGTGAATTCTGCATACGAAATCTATGATTTCACTTCTGGTTCATGGAGGGTTCTTAATATCACTCCGGACTATGATACCACGTTTTTTCAACTCGGTGTGTCTCTCAAGGGAAATGCTTATTTTTTCGCCACGGAAAAGTTACAAGAAGTAGTAGTAATAACAGATGAAAAAGGAGAAGAATACACACCAGAGCCACATAAATTTTTAATCTGTTTTGATTTCACAGTAGAGAGTTTTGGACCGCCTCTGCCGTTTAAGCACTACACTGAAGATACTGGGACTTTGTCTTGTCTTAGAGACGAGAAACTCGCAGCTTTATATCAATGCTGCGATATGGCTGAGGTGGAGATTTGGGTGACAAGTAAGATTGAGGAGGAGCCTAATGCAGTGTCGTGGATCCCCTTTTTAAGAATTGACTTGGAACCATTCACAGGTTTTAATCTACAGTTTCAGAATGATGGTGCGAGTTTCTTTATTGACGAGGAGAAGAAAATTGCTGTGGTTTTTCATTTAGACAGTTCTGATCAAATGAACTACTTTGAAGAGGACCTCATTGGAGAGAATGGATCATCTGAAGTGACCTGCAACGACACAGCTTACATCATTGGAGAGAATGGGTATTTTCAAAAGGTTGGTCTTGGAGAAGGTGTGAGTGACCCAAGCCCACTCAACTTTGGAGAATATTGTCCACTTGTCTGCTCTTCCTCTTTTGTTCCAAGTTTAGTGCATATTAACTGAATCATCATCGCCTTTTATTTTTCTTTCATCGTCTCTTTTCATTCGTCTTTTGTTATTGCTTTTTTAGAACAAGACTGATTATTCCTCGTATTTGGTTTTTTAGTTGATCAGAAACTTGATTGTCTTATTTGGCTCTCCATCTTCAGTTTCACCAGGTAAATGAAACCAGTGAAAGCATGTAGTAGCATTCTCTGTAGCATCATATTACATAGTATCCTTTATTTGTGCACAAAAAAAAAGAGTGAATTCTCCCATTAAAACCATTAGTAGAATAGAAGTATAGCACATCAAGTCATCAACACATCATCTAGCCAAATGCAAGAAGCATTTAGGTGTTCTTCTAATGAATCATGTTGTCACTAGAACATATAGTACTGGATAAACATACATACATTATAGTAAAGAAGAAGATTTATTAACTATTATAGTTTTTTTTTTGTAGTATCAACAAAATTGCAAAAGGCAAAAAGAAAACAAAAAAAACTAACTATTAATTATACCTTTGTTTCTTTCTTGAATCTCTTTTAAATGGTATTTCTTTGTTTTCTTTTGGCAATAACATCCATCCTGTACATCAAGCCTAGTCAATAGTATTCTATTTAGGTAACTAGTTTAAGCTAACTAGAAACTTCATATCTTAATTAGAACCATTTCGTAGGAACAACGCATGTACAAGAACTGTTAGTTCACCACTTTAAACTAGTTTCTTCTTTTATCTCCAATAAAAATAAATTTCTCAATACAAAACAGCACCCTTATGATTTTGCCTGTGTGTTGGGTTTATTTAGACAACTCTTATGTAGATGAACACAAAGAATATAAAGAGAGTTAAAAAAAAAACTCTCCTAGAGCAAGAACAAAGCTTCTAAGTAATCATCAACATAAGCTAAGCAAGGCCAATAATCTGTTCTTATCTGCACCAACGTCGACTCTTCACCAACTTCCATTTCAAACAGCAGATGATATCTCGGAGGCAAAAACATCAGCATCTTTATCTTTCCCATTTTCCCTCTACTCCTCGTCATTGGAACCTCTTGATCGTCTCCATATCCTATGTATGTAAGACGTAGAGGGTCTCTGTTAGCCCCTGTGACCCCCATAGATGAAGAAGCAGTAGCCTGACCTCCTTCTTCTTCCTCCTCCTGCCACAGAATGTTCTCAATGATTCCTCCTTCTCTTACAATGTTCACAAGCTGTTCTCCAGTGATAGCCACCACAAAGGGAGCCAAGTGAAGCTCGCTGGCTTGTATAACAGTTTCTGCAGGGACTTCAAGAAGTTTCACTGACCGTGTCCCGCTTATGGCTGCAGCGGTTTTGCCTCCTTTTAGTGCAAATGTTTCGTGTGCTGTGCTTGATGATGAACCACACACTTCCCACAGAGCATTGAATAGAGCTGAGTAGTAGCTAGGTATTGTATCTTCATGTTCATCTGGTGGGGCAAGAGCTTTCAGGAACATGTCTTCGATCCCCACAGGGACACTCTCGAGTTTCCCCTGAATCATCTGACCACTCTCTGCATTTGCTTCCATTGAAACCTCAACCAAACCTGGTGTTGGTTCTCTAGGTTCAAGTTCAACTGTTACAGATGCTCCTCCTCCCAAGCCTTCTTTCTCCTCCTCTTTCGGCGTGTTCTCTAACAAGACTATCTCCAAAGAGCCTTCATCGTTAGTTACATTCTTGTCCCAATGAGGCTCACCTTGAAGGAAAGGTATGCGGCACAATGGAATAGAGCCATAAGGTGCTGAAGATGAGAATTTGAGAACGGTGGCAAATAACGCAGGAGATGATGAGTCCACTTTATCTAACTCAGGACTCTGATTTTGACTACCCCATATGCTGTTATACGGCTCAGCATCCAATCTCAAAGTACAGGCTATCCTTACCTTGATTCCAGGCATGTGTCTGAGATCAGGAATCACTGAGAAGTATCTTCTTAACCTTTCTAGAACTTCTGCAATCTTTGCATCCATCACTCTTAACGTGGGCTTCCCTGATTCAATCCTTCGAGAATCCGGTAAAAGCTGGAGCTCTTGACTGCTATCTTGCTCAATTTCATCAACCTGAACTTTACTTTCGATAATGCTGTACCCATCATTTCCAACGCCTAGAGATGGTAGGGACAAGGACCATGACTGTTTCACTAGTAGGGAAGTGACACGTTCAAGATGAATATAGGAGGAAAGATTCCAAGATTTGTTAGGATCATGACGGAAACGAGGACTTTGGACAGTGAAGAATGTAGATGGATGAGTTGATGGAGAGACAGTATCTGCAGGCTTCAAAATGTTCTTTAACTTCCTTCCTGGTATACAAACCAGCATCCTCAGATATATCCTGCATTTCACCAGTTTATGAGGTGAAGATAATGCAATAATGATTTGTTTAGTGTGTCATGGTCATACCTAGCGTTGTCTCTGACATCTAGATCAGGGAAATAGAGACACATGAGAGAAAGAAGACGAGAGAGTCCAAGAAACAATCTAGAACTCTTATGGTGACTCAACAGTGTACGACAAATGCCAAGAACTTCAGTCCCTTGATCCCACAGTTTCAACCCCACATCAATACCGCGCTTATCAACAAGTGAAAGGACAAACTTCGTGAGCAGCTCTATCAATCTAGAAGGAGGTATTGTATCATTCTCTGCAAGCCGATGGAGAAGCGGGAAGTAAGCTGTTAGTAAACATCTTTTCTCAAGTTTTGGAAGTAGTTTCTCGTCTATTGTCTGAAGAAAACGCTCTCCTAACCACTGATGCTTTTCACAGTTTACCAACCGCTCAATAAAAGATACAACAACAGGGACCAAGATTGGAAACTTTGAAGTCATGTCCACCAGCAACACCTGGATAAAGTATAAAAGATAATCAAAACAAAGGAAGAGTATATGTTCGTGAAGCCCAGCAGATACATTAGATCCATGATTAATGTTATCTACACCTTAAAAAAGCTAAACAAGTTATGTTCCTTTCTCGAAAATAAACAAAGTGAACCATCATGAAGACCAAGAAGCAAGCAAAGATAGCAACAGACCTGCAAGTTCTGGAAGAGGCTAGACTCCATGAGGCTTCTAGTGGTGGAAGGGTCAGAGTCAGAATGTGTAGAAGCACATATCAGAAACTTGTGTAGAGTACGGAATGCTACAGCAGTTTCTGAGCTCCAAGGAGGCAACCATTTGAAATCCGAAACAGAAACCAAGCATTCCTGCAACAACTCCCCTGCAGATTTACTCTTATCACCTCCACTCAAACCATTGGAACTAACATAGCATTGTACAACCAGATCAAGCTTCAAAGCTTTTAAAGCAAGCGGATCAAATACCCCAGGATGAAACTTCTGACCCATCTCAAGAACAGACTTCCTCTTCCCAATCTCCCCACTCAACACCACCTTATTCAAAAGCCCCATCAACCAATGAAGCGCAAGCAAACGGAAAACAAGATAGATCTGAGTCTCCTTAGAGAGAAGCATAAGACGTCTCATGATATCTTTCTCTTGTCCTTCAAACGCATCAGGGAACTGAGTATACATAAGCAAGACAACATGACACAGCATAGGATCAAACGAATAAACCATCCCTAAAAACTGAACTCTCAACATCGAAGCTTGTAACTCCAACGCAGATGCAAGAGGCACAACCATTCCCATAAACTCCATCATAGCACAAGACGTGAACAGATACGGAGACTCCAACATAAACGCTAGCACACGTCTCAACTCCTTCTGATCTGCCCCCAACCCCTGACTTAAACCCAAACTCCCATCCCTCATCCAACTAGGAGCATTGAAAGGAACCAAAGGCACAGAAGTACTAATAAGCGAAACCCTAATCTTCTGATTAACAACATTAAACACAACAGTGGTAAACAAGAGAAGGTAAGCTTGAACAGCGTGTGTTCTCTCCGCTTGACACAACGTCCAAAGATGTCCAGCGACATCAGATAACAAACCAGGGAACCCTCTCTCCAACTGACGCAAACACTCGCACGCGACGGCACGTGCCTGTCTATCAAACCCGTGGTTAGGACGATTAACAAGCGCTAACAGCAAGTCAACGACACCTTCCACGTGTCGCACGGAGAATGACTCAACCGTTACAAGCACCGACGTGAAAGAGATCAAAGCCTGTTCCTTTAACCCGTTAGATCCATCTGTTGTGGGAGACTGCACGATGGCGCGGAGAGCTTCGATGAAGCGATCGGAGGTCTCGTGGGAGCATTGGGGGAAGAGGGTGTGGGAGAATTCGTCGAGGAAGACGAGGATGGAGAGTTTTGAGGGTAAAGGGAAGTCCTTTTTGAGGAGGGAGGTGAGGGCGAGGTCGGGTAGAGAGGAGAGGGAGAAGACGGAGGTGAACCAGTCGCGTGGAGCGTTGGAGTCTTGGAAGTCGGAGATGAGGACGTCCCAGTCGTGGACGGAGAGAGGCTTTGTTGGAGTCTTCTCCGGTGTCGTCATGCTCTGATTGGATTTTGAATCTGTAAGAGAGAGAGAGAGAGAGGTTAAAAGGAAGACATTTTGAGATGATAAGACAGAGCTTCTTGTCGCCGGCAAGTATCACTCCGTGGAGAAACAGAACAAAGTTACAGATGCTGACTCATTATTTACTTTTTTTTAATTCATTTTTCTATATTTTGTTTCAGTTTAAATGTAAATAATTTTCTTACCAATTCAAATAGCAATTAAACACACATAAAAATTTGTTAAAAAGTTTAAAGATAAGTATATATCCCTAAATCCAGATTTATGATTTAAATCTAAGATTTAAAATAATAAATTATTATATTTTAAAAATGATTTATTTTCTTATTTAAAAAAAATTGTTTATGTGAAATGTTTATTTTTAACTGTGTAGTGATTTTTGGTGTGATAATTTTTTAATTAGATTAGATCTAAGCAGAGTATAAACTTTTAAAAACTTATATATAATTATAAAAATTAGCGGAGATTACAAATACAGAACTAAACATCAGAACGCTGTTTCGGACAGTGACTCTGTTTTGTAACTAGCATCACATACTTCACCGAGACGGCAGCGTTTAGATCTTCATTTTGTTTCATCTGGTTTTTGGCCACCAACTACGCTACTAGAAGAAGTGTTATCTCGGACGCTAGGAGAAGATGAACACTTGCTAGAATGAGAGCTTTCTTCTACAGAGTTATTGTTGTTGTTGTTGCTGTTTCTCTTACATCTCTTACTCTTCTCTGACCTTTGTAATGTATCCTACAAACAAACACACAGTTTTTTATTTTATTTAGATGTCTTAGCTTCTTACTCATCACAAGTTATTTTTCTATCTTTGTCTCACCTTATCAGAAGTAGATCCAGGAGTTTTTAACTCGAGTTGTGTTGCGACGTCATTAGAGTCCTCTGCTTTCTCAGACCTGCTCTCTCTTGAAGCCTTTGTTCTAGGTTCCCTGGAACGGTTGTTCTGTGGTATGTGCACGGATTGTTGCTCAACGACTGTGTTAGGAGGCATGTACGCTGGCATGTAAGGAGCTGGCATCATGCTAGGGTTCTGGTTCCCAAAGTAAGTGTAAGATGGCATTGGTGGATGATGCATTGGGATTGAACCGGGAGGCATAGCCATAGGCATTGGATATGGAAAAGATGGTGGTGGAGCCATCATGACCGTGTGATCCATTGCAGCTCCCCAGGGAGACATTGACCTTAGTCTTTGCTGGTATTGGAGATTGAGATTCTCTATATCTGACTTGAGCGACGTCTTTTCTTCTCTCAGGTCGTTTTTCTCCTGTGTCAGCTACATAAAGAACCATTGTTTATAAGCAGTTAGGTAGCCTGTGGAGTTTGCAATCTTATGATGTAGGCTAAGTGTCTATAACATAAAAGCCAGAACACAAGTACATATCTATACATATACAGGTGAGTAATGGATAAGAATGTGAACCTCGCGGGACTCATCTGTCAAAGCGGTGTACTCAGATTTAAGTTTGTTGACTTCTGAAGTGAGCTCTTTCAAAACCTGAAGAGTATCAGTCAGAATCGTAGCTTTGTCATTCTTGGGTCTTTCTGGATCTGCAAACAGCCAAGTTACGTGAGGAGGATCTTACATAAAATCATGTAATAAACGTTAAAACCAAACGAAGCATTTAAATCATTTTACCGAGTACATTCCCAAGTTCAACAAAATGCTCATTCAGTTTCTCCCTCCTCAACTTTTCACGTCCTGCTTTCTGAGACTTTCTAGCTGAAACATCCATAACCTCTGAAAACTACAAAACACGCGAATCGAGCCCACGCTCTCTCATAAAAAAAAATCCAACCATAGCAAAGATTAATGGCGCCACATTGCTGGCTTACTTAATCTGGTTGTTGTAAACTAAGTATCCTACATTTACAGATTGTTCATATGAACCGTTTGCCAAGAGATTCTTAGTCTTATGAAATCCACAATCTTTCTAAACCGGATTTGGTATTATTAGCATCTATCAAAAAAATAAAATCAAAAACTTTGGTTGAAGAAAGGAATCTTCAATTAGATCCATCATAGATTCCCCTGAAGAACTTGCTCTACACTTTCATACACTTAACCTAAGTTCAAACCAATCAAAACCCCCCCTAGATTCGAGTTAATTCCTTTGATTGAAGAAGCATCTTAGCTAGCTGGATTAAGATCGAAACCCTAAGGAGGACGACGCCAATTGAGGAAGATCTATTGGAGCAAAAGGTAGAAGCAGAGACTGAACAAACTTACCGGCGAGAGGAATCGACGGAGACGGAGAAATTCGATTAGATAAAACAAGACAAAGGTTCGGCGAAGAAAGATTCTCCTTCGTTCTGTGGCATTATGCCATTATCCCCTCTTTCAATTATTTCCCAATGAATCATATTTTTCCTTTAGATGCCAATAAGTTTTGATTATTTCTATTTTTGCCTTCAATTTATGAAATTATCAAAATAGACCCCCAATACTTGATTTTGTTCTTCTGGTTTCAACAATGTGAATCTTTCTAGTGTCTAATTATTTTATCAACTGAGCTCACGATTGCCTTCATTATTTTATCAACTGGACTCAAAATTTGACTGGTTGGTTCTGCAAAATAACGTCTCAGAAATAGATATAGGTGAAACTGATCTCCAAAATATTAGTTTAATTTTCGGATTCAAGTCTACACAAGATTAACGTTTGGATGAAGTTCTTTTTTCTTTTCTGTTTTGATGTCAGTGTTATAAAAAAAAAGTCTACACAAGATTGGTCCAACCTATAATAACGAATCTTATAAGACATGATGTAAAGCCAACGCCTATTAACTTCTTACACACAAAATAAAGCATTGTATTTGCACAGATCCGACCAAAAGATTCATTCATCTACTGGGATTCTCCATCTTCATCTTTCATCAAAGCAACGACTTTCTCTATGATGCTCTTAAGAGCAGGTGCGCTTACAGAACACTCGTTGTTCCCCTCAAAACACGACTTCCCCTGTTCCGCTGCTTTGCAAAGCTGTGGATCCAAAGGAACACTCCCAAGATACGGTACTCCCATCTCCACACACATTCTCTCCGCACCACCTCCACTACGGTCAAACACTTCGCTGTAAGTCAACACATTGAGAAGCTCTGGTGCGTTCTTCCTTAAACAAGAGATTACGTCTTGTGTCGCATCAATGGTGAGGCCAAGCTCTGAATCCACCTTCATGAACTTGACATCCGCCAACGGTTGACACAAACCGCTCATATTCTCCACTACTCCTAGCACATTGACTCCAACTTTCTTGCAAAAGCTAATTTCTTTTCTCACATGATCAACGAGACTTCCTGCGGGGTCGTGACGATGATTGCACCGTCGATCCCAGTGGCTTGGAGGTACTGGACGATTGAGATGTGCTCGTCAGATGTTCCTGGTGGGGCATCAACCACGAGGTAATCGATCTCTCCCCAGTCGACGTCTTTCAAGAACTGTTTGATGAGAGCGTTCTTGCGAGGACCTCTCCATACAACAGCGTCGTCAGAGTTGGGGAGCATGAAACCTATGGACATGACACCGAGGTTTTCCTCCACATATACCGGGGACCATCCGAGGTTGCTCTGGTGAATCTCATGCCCTTCAAGGCCTAGCATTTTGGGCATGCTTGGGCCGCATATATCTATATCCATAAGGCCTACTTGATGGTCCATTCCCGCGAGGGCGAAGGAGAGCTGAGCTGAGAAAGTGCTCTTACCAACCCCACCTTTCCCAGATAAAACCAGAATCTTGTGCTTAACGGTGCTCATTCTCTCTGCTATGGCCACCAAATCTGAAGGAAACAGGAAAATTTAAGCAAAGTGAGTATGATACTCAAACACATATGAAGCTTAAAACTACATATAAATCACTCGTCTAATCATTGTTGTCACAAGGTTTTGCTCTCAAAAGAACAATATGGCCAGCAAAATGAACCCACAACTCTAATAGTACTGACATACTAAGAAAATGTATATTCGCAGTTAGCTAAGACAGTATTCTACTTCATGTTCTAGAGAGCCAAACCCTATAATACAATTAACAAAATATATACACCTCTAAAACAACAAAAAGATTCAGAAGAAAAAAAAACAGGAGCTAGATGGAAGCACTTATGAGAAGCTGTAAAAATCTTCAAATTAAGTGAATTCAACAATTAGAAATAAAACGAAACTTTTGGTGATATAATCTTCAGTATGGACTCAAAAGCAGACAAATACAAAACCCTAATTCAAATGTAACCCATGATCGAGAGAGAGTAATTCGAACCTGGATCAGGTCCTTTAGGAGCAGTAGCACATACTTCCTGATTAGGGCAACCTGCGCAAGAATCAGACTTTCCAGCAGTCTCCGATTGAGGACCTGGGCAGTCTATTCACCAGCAAACCAGTGAAAAATAACAAAATTCGGTCAAAATTCACAGACGAAACAGCTCATAAGCTGAAGAAAAAAAAGATGGATTGTTAGCTTACGTTCATTGGCGTTCTCAGGAATCTCTCCGTTCTCCATGGCGACGACTGTGTGATTCGATTCCTCTCTGATTTTGGCGGCGACGCGTAGTGAAACCAGTTCTCTAGCCCATTATAGCTATATGGGCTCGTATTTAATTCAAATGGGCCTTACTGGCCAGTTAGAAATTGCAATTTAATGCTGATTTTTTTTTCTGTGACCAACACAAAAAAAAGGTAATCAAAGAGTGGTAGTCAGTGTGTACTGAGAGAGTGGTGTGCAAGTCTTTTGAATATTTGTATTGTATTATTCTTCATATATCGTTATCAAATACATGGGCGAATATGGATAATGATGCAAAAGCATGTAGTCGACTTTATTCACAAACGTAAGAGTCGTACTCATAAACCCTACTCATTCACATGCTATGAAAGTGAAACACCCAGCTTTGCAAGCAACTGATTTCACAATAAATAAATAAATGAAGCAGAACTCTGGAAAATTATGTATTAAATTTGGAAAGTGGTATTACGAGTTTATATAATATAAGGCCAAAAAGGAGGGAATATTTATAATTCACGTAAAAACAAAGGGGACACACTCATATGTGAGTAATGTATGTATTACACAGCATATAAATACATAACTTTTATAATGCTACTTGAGAAGCATAGTCCTTTGTGCTGTGGACAAGTCAGAAGTGAGCTCATGAAGCATCATTTTTTGTGGTTGATATGCTCTCATATGCGTATTTGATATCAGTTTTCACTACTGGCAATTCAGATGCTAGTGGTTTATAACAAAATAATTGTAAAATATCATCATGTATTTTCAAAACAAATACTTGGAAAGTGCTATTGTAAAATAGTTTGCTACTATTTATCCACCTCTAGTGTTTAATTTGGGGCACCAAATAATTTTGTAATTTTGTAATTTTGTAATTTTGCTATGATTTCTTTGTCATTCAGAACAATGAGCATAAAGGAATCAATCTTGCACCTGGTCTTTGCAAGTTTGCCGCAACTGCAAGCACCTGGTTTTCACTTTCTGGTATTAATATGTTTGGACTAATCTCTGATTAAATTATTTAATTTTAATATAATTATTTATTACAAGTGCTGTTGGACCGAAAACAATGACACTTTAAGAATCCAAACAAATTTTTGTCTATGAATCTTCCAATTTTATAGTCTGCAATCTGTTCTCTGAGGTTAACAACACCTCTTTTTGAATATTTAAATCTCCCTATTAACTTTTGTTTAATAAGTATTTAATTAGCTACACTCTATAAAACCTTTGTTTTCTCTGACAACGCCTCGTCATATTGGTTTGTGCTACGCACACAAAAACATATGGATTTCAAAATAAGTAGCCGGTCAATGCAGTCTTACGTACTTTTTGAATGGTTAACCGAAGAATAATAGGCTGAACCTATACAGTATATTTTCACGAGGATGTATAGTAACCCTTTTCAAATGTTCCAATCGCAAACTTAGTAACGCTCGCAAACAATGATGAATGTACGCATCAATATTGGATATACTCAACTAGTTAACAAAATGTAAACACTTTCACTCGTTTATTATTTTCCAACAATGTGTATCTTATTAGTAATCAGTCCAACTAGCACCAAACAAATAATTCAAGAATATACTCAATTTACTACCACAAGATTATGGGACTAGACATTCACATGTGAATCACAGTTGAAAACTTGTTTTTCTAACTCTTATATCATATTAGTAATAAACCTAACTAACATTCATCATTTATTTCAAAAATGGAGGGCTATAACATACTAATACATTAGTCTACAATTTGCTGAACTCTCAATGTGAAACTCTTATAATTTTGTCACATTAATGACATAATACAAACCTATTATGCTACAAAGTCCATGTTCTATAATTCTATTTCTACTAGGGTTAAGAAGTAATCCATAAGACCAATTCTTGTTTTGTAAATTTATAATATACTTCTGCGTTGTATGAGAGTTATGAAAATATACAAATATCTATCTAATAAACGTAAATGACACCGCAATAAAAGTTATATATAAATAGCCGTTTCCATGTGATAACTATTATTGCTCTCTCAACTATCCAAAAAAAGAAACAAAAGAGGAAGAACACAAGAGTCACTAGTTACAAGCTTCATTCATTCATCACCAAATGCAAAAGAAGCTCACACAATGTCTCTTCTCTGTGATCTTCAAATCAATCTCGATAATGAATCCACTTTCTTCGTCAATCAGGTAACAAATTAACTAATAAACCAAATCTAACTTCTTCTGTTTCTTTTAATCTGAATGAAACTTTATTTTTGTTAGGATTTGATGTCAGAGTACTCAGGATTCTTGAAGAAGCTGATAAAACAGAGCAACAAGAAGAAGAAGAATCACAAGAACAGTAGAATCATCATCCAAATCCAAGACTTTCCAGGTGGACCAGATGGGTTCGAGTTAGTTTCAAGATTCTGCTACAGCAATGGCCGAGGAATCTCTATCAACGTCTCAAACGTCTCCATCTTGTACTGCTCTTCTCTGTTTCTTGAGATGACAGAGATACTCTGTTCCTCTAACCTCTCCTTTCAAACAGAGAAGTTTCTTGAAGGAATGTTCTACTGGTCATGGAACGACATCGTTTCATGCCTCAAGAGCTGCGAACAAGTGTTTTTCCACGCAGACTCGTACGGTCTTGTGGACAAGCTTGTGTTCGGTGTTTTAGCCAAGATCGCTCAGAACTCGGACATGAGTCAAGTCTTTGCCTCATCCTCAACGTCTTCCTCTGCTTCTGCGTCGTCTATGTCTCCCGAGACGGCGAAGAATAGGTCTGATTCAGACAAAAAGTCAACTTCGAGGTCGTTTTCTTGCAAGACAAGCAACGAGTGGTGGTTCGATGATATGTCAACTCTCGGGCCAAAGATCATCGAGAAGCTGATAAAGAGCCTTGGAGCTTTCGACGAGAACAATGACAGTTTAGTCCTTACAAGATTTCTTCTCCATTACCTCAAGACAAAAGTCCACAACAAATCAAACAGCAAGCTTGAGTATTCAGGTTTAGCTAACACAGCTGTTCAGGGAGTGATATTCGCTGCGAAAACCGCGTTTTCCTGCAGGAAAATCTTTTGGGTTCTTAGGGTTTTATCTGGATTTAGCATCAGTAAAGAATCAAGAACTGGTTTAGAGAGAGTTATAGGAGAGATGCTGGATCAGGCAACACTTGATGATCTTCTGATACCTACAGGTGGTAAGAGAGACAAAGGGTTTTACGATGTTGATTTGGTGGTGAGATTACTCAAAGTGTTTGTCAGAAACTGTAGCACAGAGGAAGAAGATGAGAGTTTGAGAATGAGAAGGATGGGGAAGTTGATTGATGAGTATCTGAGAGAGATATCTCCAGACCAGAATCTTAAAGTTTCAAAGTTTCTAGAAGTTGCAGAGAGTTTGCCAGATTCAGCTAGAGATTGGTTTGATGGATTGTTCAGAGCCATTGATATCTATCTCGAGGTCAGTTGTTTTTTAGAGTTTATGATTTATTTTTTTTTTGTGTTTATTCAAATAATTGCATGTTCATGGGAATTTTGAAAAAGAAAAAAAAAAGATTTTTTGCACGAAAATGAGACAAGAAAAACAAACTAAGTAGAGTGAAATAGAACAAGACAAGAGTCAAAACAACTTTCAATATGGTTTGGCTTCTTACAATTCTCAAGAGATGAAAACACTTAACTTTTTCTTTTGTCTTTCTTTAATTTGTATGATATCTAAAGATTCGAAAGTTTGAGATTTTGCATACGCACAAATTTTCTATTACATAGTTAAGATATTTTGCCTATTTTACATTTACATTTGGATTTTTTTGACCTAAGATATCATATTTCGCCTGTATTTTAAAATAACAAAATAATATTAAATTGTATATATCAGACCTTAACTTAAATTGTATTAAACACAATCTTTTTTTTTTCAAATTAATTTTATGTTTGCGTTTGAAACTTTTTTGAAAAAGGTTTGATGAAAACCTTAAAATGTTATAGCTTTTGTAGAAAGAAAACAGTAATTTACAGTGCAAACGTAGAATCAAACGCAAATGAGGAAAAAGTGGCTACGACATACTGTGTAATGTCCAACTTACTGCACATTCATGACAAAACCTCACTGTCTTCTTGTCTGTCTTTTGTTTGACAATTTGACTAATTATCATTAATAAGTTTCTAAACAATATTAAGAATAAGATTAGTAATAGTATCACGTGAAAACTAGATATGATTAATCTAATTATGATTTCTTGGAAAAGAAAAAAGCTGTTTACCGTCAGCTTACTTTTATGTACTTGTTACTATATAATCGCTGTGCTTAGTCAATACATTATGAATATAATTAAATTAACTAAATCTCTATCGTGCTATTATTTTGCAGTCCCATCCAAATCTATCATCCGAAGATAGAACAAAACTATGTCGATGTCTAAACTACAAGAAACTTACACTGGAGATATGCAAACAACTCGCAAAAAATCCCAAGATCCCTCCAAACATTGCAGTTCAAGCACTCAAGTCACAACAGTTATCGAACGAAGCTCTACCACACTCGAGAGAAGACAAGACTAAACTAAGTAAGATCAGGAATTCACGTAAGTATGTTGAAGAGAAACCAATATTGGTGCGTCTAAAAGGATTTGAGATGTCAGATAAAGTAGTTGATGGGTTTAAAGATGATATAAGGGTGAACTTAGAGAGGAGGCATTGGAATAAAGTGATGGATCATTCAGAAAAAAATTGTAAGGAAAAGAAGAGTGAAGTAGTGTCAAGATTGGTGAGACATGGACATACCCATTCAAGTTCTAATTTTCCAAGGCTTTGTTGATGAACTACTTCACCATTTATTTTTTTGTTTCTCTATGTAGATTGAGAGTTTTTCATATATAATCATCACACTCATCCACGTATCATGTATATTACAAGCATTTTCATGCAAAATGATGTAGTTCATGCAAAAAAATAATGTAGTTTTGAGAATGCATGTAATTCTGTGTCTTTTGGATGCAAATAAAAAGATTATGTTATAAAACAAAGAAACTATTTTGAGTCTCTAAGGGTATCTTTACATGCCGTGGAGTTTGGGTCATTTGGACTATGATAGTTCCTAAAACTTTCGTCCCAAAATATTAAATAAAAATCATTGGGAAGAAAATATTCTTTAGAATTCGAATAGTTACTCTCAGATTTTTTTTTTTGAAAAAAATCAGATTATTATTTTTTACATAAGAAAGTATGATATGTATGATAAGGTTAGTTTTCATAATTATTCTCAAACTCGAGGGAATTGCCAAGGGATCTAGAAAAAATATCAATTTCTGATATACCCACTCACTGGGAAATTCACATAGCAGGTACACATTCCGAATATTATAGGTTGAGCTTAAATTTTAGATTATCTGGTTATGTAGAAAACAAAATTAAAAAGACTAATGAAACAAAGTATTAAATCAACAAGTTGACCTATCAAAATCATACATTGAGCATTATATATAAAACAATTCAAAATCAAATCACGGGAGAGAATATCTTCTTGGCTATATACGTCACATGCCCCCTTAGATTTGATATTCTTGGAAATGAGATTCAATGATGAATATTGAGATTTAACCAAACGTTGGCTGAAACTAGTCATTTCCTAACATGCCTACTTTTGTGCATCTTGCTAAAAATGTACTTTAGAGAATCTTAGTCTTCTATTGGCACGAAAATAAACTTTTAACCATGTAGCCTGAATTGGTAGTAAAAGTGAATAACAATTATGTGTAAGCTTTGCTACAAATCTTTTTTTGGTTTCTTGTATTGTATAAACCCTACAGAATAAAGTAGAAATATCACACAACCTGTATAGTTTCCAAAAAGAGAAAATAATATCACCAAGACATGATCTTCTCGTAACAGTTCTAAACAGTGAGAAATAAAATCTTAACGAAGATTACAAAAAATCACCTAATCCTCGCATTTTGTTTGCTGTTCTATTGAATTATACAAAGCTGGATTGATGAATGAGAAATCAAAAAGAGCTTAATATAGAATTGAGCATTTTTTGTCTAACAAAAATGTAATGTAATCTACGGCTTTTACCTCTTGTAAACTGTTTGATACCAGCTCAAGGAGCATCTTTTACCATACCTAAATCATTTCCACCTTCTCCACTTGGTGTGACCTCCTTTGATTTACCACCGTTTGCTTCAGATGTTGTCGTAGAGGAGAGACATGCATTCCAGAATCATGTAGTTTCTTTTTAGCCAAATCCAATGCTGAGGAACCAGGAACAACTGTAGTTCTGAGAGATGCAGCATTGCTAATAGCATGTGCGTTCAAACTTGATTTATCAGAACCCTTTTCGTTTAAATCAGCACTCGCCACGAAGCTAAACGACCTCTCCGTATTCTTCACCAAATATTTCACCTTGGCCGGAATCTGCCAGCTGTTTACCTGATCCTGGAAATTGTAGGATTCAAGAAGTCTTAACACAAACAATAGAGTAACAGAACACCAGTTCTAACGCCACTAAAATGTTGCCTCATCTTTAGATTTATATACCTTTGTTTTACTGTTGTAGTAATACTTTTTGCATCAGTTGTGGACACAAGAGCCCAGTCCGTCCGTTCCAGGTAAATTCTCCCTACGTTTGGTACAAAATATAAATATGTTGATTTCATACGCAAGATAGATAACAATATGTAATGTCTCATGCAGAACCAAGATAGACGGTATCTTTCAAGATATGACAAATAATTTCATCAGAGAAAGTTATGATCTCAATCTAAGGACTTACATAGAAACAGGAATTGGCTGCACCGGAACTCTATCTGGCTGCAGACGTTAAGCAAAAATATAGATTATAAATTGCTCAAAAATTCTAAGAGGACTAGGGTGGCGACATGTATATACCGTGCATACATTATCAAGGTACACTCAGACAAATATCCTCCTTAAGTTTTTGCACTAGCATCAAAAGCCAGTGAAAATAGAGGATAAATTGTTTTAAACGAAATCTCAAACTATCGTCAAGCAGCTAATGAAAGTTTGAATCATATCTGACGTTTTATAACTTGGACACCAATGCAATACATATCATAGACATCAAATCCTAAGTGACATGTCGTGAAGAAAATAGATCATATGGTACCGTATTGAATAGACGTAGTCTCAACTAATGAACAAGCCATGTAATCAGCAATGATTTCCTACTAGTTGAGGACGAGCTTTGTCATCTGCAAAAGGCAAGACGATCCTGAAAAAGGCTATGTAAACTAAATAGAATAACCATTAAGGTCAAATAGCTCTATTACATGGATCAAATTATCAAGTATACCGATTCCTGAAAGTGCCTCTGTCTTTTGACAGGGAGAAATATCAAACTGGTGACCTGGTAACGCATGAACGGTGCCAGCATTTCCAACATAAAATTCCCTAAGCGGCTGAGAACCAGGATATGTAAGGTGAGAAGAATTTCCACTAACTAGAAATGGGTAAGAACCAGGAAAATGAGTAGGATGTGAGGGGAAATATGCCCTAGGGATACCACCGATAGGTGGAGGCTGCAATCACATTCCTTGAGGCATTTCAAGCATTGTTGGCAAAGAGTGATAAGGTCCCTAACCCCTACACCATCTCCAATAGTGCATTATATTTTCCTCTATAATCTAATCTATTAAAAAAGAGTATAAATTTAGATTACACCTTAGTTTTTCACTATATTTACACTAAAATGTTACTCTTATATTTAATGAAGCTATATTTATGGATACTATGTCTTTTCAAAATTAATAAAATAACAATTACTTCTAATTTTATGTCTTTGTTAAATGTTTGCATATTTTCGGTTAACCTTATTTTTGTTCTTAAAAACTATTATTTTTGACACACACAATCTTAAAGAATAACTTTTTACTATTAAATTCTGAATCATTTGTTCAAAAAAATATTTTATATAATTTAGTTTATCTATAAATAAAATTTTGTAACAGATTTAATGTATCTTTGATTTAGCATATATAATATATGTATTTATAATCTCACCTTTTTATGCTCTATATAAATAAAATACACTGGTCAAAAATATGATAAAAATATACAGGTTAAAAAAATCATGATTAAAATAATGATTCTCACATTTTTATGTTCTTACAAATGTTAATACATACATAAATCAAAAACCATGATCAAAATATAAATAAGTTATATTAAAATAGAATAACTAGTGAAATATAGAGAATGCCGTATTTTCACTATGTATTTGAAGTGAAAAAGTGTAAATTATAAAAGAAAATATAGTGTGCTGGAGATATCCTAACTTCTATTTAGGTCATTATTTTGTAGGTTTCACAGACACATGCCACCAAAATGAGAAAAAGTGAATCCTAACATAATTGTTTCAAACTCAAACTTAAAAAAATTGAAACAATTGTTGAAAAACCACAACCAATATTTTTTATTTTTGATTTTTGGACATCACGACCAATATTAATTAATAAGTAAAAAAAAAATTGTAAAAAAAAAAATACTTGAAAAACTAAAAACAACACTATAAAATCAGTTTAACATATAAAATAACTCAACACACATAATATAAAAAAACAAAAATTTCAAAAATAAATATGCAATATTCATAAGAATAAGAAAAAATTTAGGAAAATTCCATTTACAATATCGGTCTTTATTTTTTTTATCACAATCAACTAAGTAAGAAATGAGTAAGAAATGAGTAAATCTGATGCATTTTTTATCACTAAATTCAAACCATCGTAAATTAACATTAAATAAGATATAACTTGTGTTTCAAAAAAAAAAAAGATATAACTTATGAGTGGGAAAATAAGGTATGACTTAAGTCATACCTTATTTTAATTAATTAGGTACGACTTAAAAAATAAGGTATAACAATAATAAGGCATGACTTAAAATAAGTTTAATTACTTAGTTATGAGTTGGAACTATAGAAATCAATAAAAATAAGTAACTATCTTAAATGTCAAAACTTTGATTATAAACAAAATTGGTACAATATAAAATCGAATTAATTAATAGAAAACATATTTTTGTTGGACTTGAAAATCATATGTTTGGATTGCTATAAATGTGTTGAAACTTGAAACCATATAAACAACCAACACCAAACTAAAACTCTTATCTTCAAAAATATTGAAGCTTTGTTTAATCAAACATTCACAGTAAAAAAAAAAATCAAAACCTTGATACAAATGAAACCATCATTTAATTGGAGTTCAAATCATATATCTAACTTATTAACCATGTGTTGAAATATAAAAAAAAATAAAAAACGTTTTTAAAAAATCAAAATTTTATTATAATGAAATTTTTATCCTTAAAAATCAAAATGTTGGTGAAATATCAAAACAATTTTACATTGATGTTCAAATCATAAATTTAACTTACTTTTCATGTGGTGAAACCATATAAACAAAACAAAAAAGAAACAATTATCATCATAAATTTGAATTTTTGATTATAAGAAGTTTTTATCACAGGAAAATCAAAATTTTGATGGATATTGAAACGTCTTTAAGTTAGATTGAAACCATTTGTTTAACTAACTAATTTTGTATAATAAATCATGTTAATAATCAAATGATGATACATGTTTTCTTAAACTATATATAATTAACAAAACAACATAGAAATTATTTCATTAAATTTAAAACTGAAAATCTGAGTATAATTGAGCCTTTTATCAACCAAAATTAAACTTTGATATATATGTTGATCTTCATCGGTGGTCAAAAATTAAAAGTAATTTAGGCGATCATGCATGTTTAACATCAATGTACGTTGTCCTGGTAACAATGTCAAACTATGTACAATGTGGTAATTAAATAAATTATTCAACTATTAAGTTTTTGCGATGATGTTTTTGAGAAATGAGGTTTATACTATGTCATGACATGGAGATTTCCTTTGACACTGTATAAACAACATCTGTGCTGCATTTTAAGATCCGCTAGCTCCATAATTTCATTGAGTACATGTATATGCTTATTGGAGGCGTCAACAAGTACCTACAATTACAAAAGATACACAAGTTAAAATGATAAATGAATTTCATACAACAAAAAACAAACTTCGATTAATATCCTTGTTCTAAAAGTCGGCCGTTTCACCGATTACGCGAACGAAACGTGGATCGGATGCAGAGCGCGGCGAGTTAGGGCTGATCGGCAAGATTAGACAGTTGTCCGAGTTGAGTCTGCCTGAGCCGTGTAAATATAAAGGCGGCGAGTAAGTGGTGACTTGGATCGTTTCTGGTTTTATAATTCATCAAAGGAAGAAGAAAACCACGTGCGTTGAAGTACTTGTTGATATTTTTATCACAGGCCCAATTATTTATTATAATAGAGGCCCACTTAACCAATTAAACTATAATTATGCATTTTTCACATGTTAATGTAATATATCTATAATAAAAAATCATATCACGAAAATTGTATTATATTTTTGTTTCATATTTTTTAAATTGTAAATAGATATCAAGTACAGCTTAAAATGTTAATTTATATGTATAAATATAGTATTATACGTATAAAAGTACAAAAAATTCCTCTCCGAGTACTCTCCGATTTTTTCCCGCTTTTTCAATATATCGCTAGGCGTTGATGTGCCGCACGCGTAGCGCCTAGCGAGTTTCCAAACAAGGATTAATATGAAAAAAAATTTAGCTGAGAGTTGAAATCATAAGTGTTAATTACTATTCATGAGTTGAAACCATATAATTGATGTTTTATAATGTTGATTTTTATTATAAATGAAATTTTATGACAGAAATTCAAAATTTTGATGTATATGAAAATATTTTTAGTTGAGAATTGAAATTATCAGTTTAACTTACTAATTATCAATTGATATCATATAAAAAACAACAAACTAAAAACTTTTTATCTTCAAAAAGCCAATGATTTGAGTGAAACTTTCACAGTAAAAAAAAAACAAATTTTGATGCATATGAAAACATGTTTAGGTGAAAGTTGAAATCACAAGTTTAACGTATTAGTTATGAGTTGAAACCATATATATCAATCACGGAATAAAACATTTATCTTAAAATATATTGAAGGTTTGATTGTAAATGAAACTTTTACAATAGAAAAAAATCAAACTGATGCATTTTTAGGTTGGACTTGAAATCATAAATTTAATTTACTATGCATCTGTTGAAATCCAATAAATCAACACTAAACATAAAATGTTATCTTAACAAAGAAAGACTTGTATCTTTAAAAATTTGTTTTTTACTATAAATATTTTTTTTATCATTGCAAAATCAAAATTAATGTGTATTAAAACATTTTCAAGTTGGAGTTGAACCAATAAGTTTTTATTACTAATTACGTGTTGAAAACTATGAAATGTAAAAAACTATAAAATTTTATCATAAATAAAGGTTGATTTATATGAAAACATCTTTACGTTAACTTGAAACCAAAAGTTTAACCTACTAATTGTGTATCTAAATCATGTTTATAAACAAATGATGTCATACATATTTTCTTTGAAACCATTTAACTAACATCAGAAAACTGAAGTTCTGTTTAAAATTGAACATTTTACCATCACAGTTAAATTTTAATGTATTTGAGAAAAACATATTTTTGTTTGTAAAAATACTAACTCAAATTCTAATACATTAGATTTTGTTGGATGTCGAGTTGTTACTTGAAGTATTGAATTTAGTAAAAGGATAACTAAAAACTGCAAAGTATTTTCTTTCTCAAACATCAATTTAAAAGAAAATTAATAATATTTGTGAGTTATACTTTTAATTCAAAACTTAATCAAGTGTTACTGATGTTATCAATCAAAACCGTATTATTTTATTTTAGTATTAATGGAGTAAAGTTACTTTTTATACTATTAAGGAAAGCTTTCTTATTCCAAATTGGAAAATTGTCTAAATTCCACATTCCTAATATCATTTACTTAAACAATTTTACACATATCTAAAATTAAGAGCACCTCCAAGGGGGTTCTACCCATTCACTTTTTGCTAGGCCTATTTTATTTTTACTTAATTTATTTTAATATAATATCATATTTCATGTTTTATTTTGAACAATTTTTTTAATGTTAATTACAATATCTTTATATATTTATCAGCCACCTTTATTTACTTTTACATACACATACATGTAAGAGTGGGCACAAATCAGATATCTGAGGTTTTTGAGGTATTTGTGATCCAATATGTTTCGTTTGAATAATCAATTATCCAATTCGATTTGATTCGTAGCCATACAGATATACAATGTCCCAGAAAATTATATTTTAACAGTTTGATCCGTAAAAATAAATAAAGAATTTTAAATAAATAAAAAACAGGAAATACTAAAATTTTGTTACAAAAAAACTTATTTACTTTTTTGAATACTAATACCTAATTTAGTAAATTTA